AAGCAAATCAGTATGGTGCTGATAAAAGTCAATGGCAATGAGCTTATTTAAAACAGACAGGGACCTGGTCTTGAAGAGCCTATCTCTGCCAATTACATGAATTAATTTTAGCAAAGCAGTGCAGTAGTTTCTAAAAGAATCTTGTTATTACTAGCTTAGCATTAGCTTGGTTACATTTGGAAAATCATGATTCAATTCACTTGCTTATTGCAGCAGTATGGCCTAGCAAAGACAGGATTCACTAAGAACTACTGTTGAAGACAGCTTCGCAAGAATGTGCTGATAAAAAATATTATTTAAATAATCTCACTACAAGACAGCGTCTCTCATCATGGATGCTGGCCAAGTGCTTGAATATTTTGTGAGTTAGTGCAGCCAGAGGCAAAAACAAACCCAACAGTCACCAGGAGGATTTGTGGGGCTTCCCCTGGTAGCTTCCCATCCAAGTATGAGGCATGCTTTGTGAGATCTGATACTACATGTGGCAGGGCTGCTGCTAAGAGGGTCACCATGGGATTATTTTAATGTTCACTGAAATGGAAGCAATTTATTACATACTGCAGTAGCATCGCTTTCATTCAAATTATAAGAGATTGCAAGTAGCCTTTTAAATCTGCTTTGCCTTTGCCTCCAGTACCAGCTTACCTTCAAGCTTCTTGGAAAGATGATGCTCTGTGAAGCAGTCTTTGGAGGTTACACTAAGAACAGAGCATTCAGTGAGTACCCTGTTGACCTCCCAGAGCATGCAGGGTTAGAAACACACATCTGCATGTGTAAATTGGGTTTCCCCAATGGCCTATGAATAGGATGCATCTGCGGAACAAGTTTTGCACTTACCTGAATATTATCATAAAAGATTTACATGATTTAATTAGATTATGTAAATGCTTTACTCCGATTTGAAGCTTTGAAAATCATAATGTCATGCTCTAAATTATGCAAGTATTGAAAATGCTTTTCACAGCAGTAGAAGCAAAACCACAAGTGAGACAGTGCTGCCACATGCCCTTCTGCTGTTCTCTACTCACCAAAGGCCACACAGAATGTATTACTGTAATCCTGACTTTTTCTGTTAACATTTTCTGCACAGAGTGTAGTTATTTTGTGCCCTAATTTTATGCTAAGCTCCAATCCAAATTTGATTTGGAAAACATTTGTGGTTTATATCCACATCCCGACTAAGCAGCAGATTTTTCACAATGTCCTCCCCACCATTCTCTGACAGAGCACGCGCTTCACGGCAAGGAGATCTCAGCAAGGAGATTCAGTAAGTTATTCACAGAAGCATCTTCCTAACTGCTGAGCAGTGAAAAAGGCAAGTAGGGAAAACCTTAGCAAACGTTTTTCTCTTAAATTAACTTACTTTCTGGATAAGATAGTGCTGCCACAATACTGAGCACATGTCACGAAGATCCTGCACCCCACAGGACATTCTTTAAACTATACAAAACAGTCATTTATATGATCTACAGAAATAAGTTACAGTGGGTAAGGATGGTACCAAATTATCTGGAGAGAAAAGGAACCACCATTAGAGGCAAAAGAACCATCATGAATTAAATCCAGGAATTAACATGTACTAATGGAAAAGTCACCAAATGTGGGTAACTGAATTTTAGCAGGACTTCGTTATTCAGTATATCACTTATTTTCCAATACAAACTGAGTGAACCAGTTTCATCTTCAATACAGCTACTCGATGTGTCTGAAACACCTATGTCTGATCTTCTCCACCATACACATTGCCATAATGGGCTCTAGAGCACGTGCCGCTTTACGTTAGGGTTGCAAATCTTTCTATGCAGTCTGAATACCTCACCCCCAAATCCTACTGGTTCCCCCGTGTTCTAACCCTGGCTCCCCAATCTGAAGATCATAAACAGAATTAAAAAAATGAAAATAAACTTTAATTTTATGAAAAATCCTAATAAACTTTTGTTCCAAGGCAAGGGAACTTTGAGAATTACAGCTCAGACAGATATTTTTTTTCTTCCTGTGCAAGCATAGGGCTGTTCTTCACCACGTGGGGAAAGGACTTACCCCATAGCTCTTCAGCCATAGGTGACCAGAGAATAGTTTGTACGCAGGCCAGGTTATGTCATATTATCCATGCTGATACAAACCACCTGGGGTAAGGCACATCTCTAGTGGCAGCCTACATTCCTGGCTCACCATAGCCTAATCTGACACAGATTAGGACTCTTGGGAAAGCTGCTCTCGGCCCCCCTTTGCCATCTGTGGCACGCTGCCCAGCTTTGGTTATGACTTCTGAGAAAACTGATGACTTGTGAGAAAAGGCTGTATGAAAGTCTGTGGGGAAAAGCCACAGACCATAAACACGAAATTGCAGACAGAGGTAATGCTGTTGCAGTGGGAAACATTAGCAGCTCAAGGATTCAACAGGGAAAAGACACCAAAATGCAAAGGTATAAAATCCTAAAGGGCTAAATGGAGCTGGAATATGGCAATTCTACAACAGATGATCTGTTCTAAGCCGCACAGAGAACAACCCTTCCCCAGTCTACTGACACCTTCCTGGCCAGCAAAATTCACTTCAGGTGTCTTACCAGACATGGGGAACACACTAGTGCTAGACCCAGTAGCTTGTTAAATTTTTGCCTGTATCCTGCTTGCAGAGTCGCTGCACATTTCAAAAGATACCTGAACTGACTAGTGCAGAGACAGACAGAAGCCACTGCCTTTTCCCACATACCCTCCCCTGCTTGCAGCTCTCAGATTATTATAAATATCTTGTTCATGATAACAGATACTTCTCTGCAACACATTTGCTCCCTAGCTCTGCTTGCTAGGCTTTCCCATTCTCTGCCGACCTCAGCCAGCCATCACAACACTGTAATCTGCTCACCTTCCTGTTTCACAGCACCCTTTACATTCAGTACTCTTTCCAGACTATCCACCCACGATGCCATTCTTTTCTGGCCATGTTGGAAAGTTACAGCAGAAGAATGATAAACTCGTAGGGACAAGTTTATTTTTAAAAGTTTCATATACCACTCTTCAGGGACGCATGGGAGCTCCCTTCGCAGTACGGACAGAACTGATGCTGACTGCCACTCCAGAAAAAATTCACAAAACCCAGAAGTGAAATATTCGTAAAACTTGTAATCTGAAAATAATTTTCTACAAACAAATGTGAAGAACAATGCCCCCGTAACTGAACAGTAAAGTGGTTTTCAAACACTAGTAAAAATCTCATTATCCTTCCCAGCAGACATGATCCTGCATAAACCAGAACCGACTCGGCCTCTCTCATGGGCAATACCAGAAGAGCTCCAGGTACTTACTCTCCAGTTCTGATGGGTCTTAAGTCAGCTCATAAGGCTGTCATACAGGTCTAGCAGCTGAATTAAGTTGCTCTTATTCCAGGTTCCACAATGTTTTGCCTGTGATAGGAATCCTTGAGATGAAGCTCCCAATCCAAAATTGCACCCTCCTGTGGTTACTGGAGAAAATAAATCGAGCACAGCTGACTGAAATTATTCTGATTCAATTATTTCATGAACACTTCAACTAACCACATTTATCAGCCTCCTAAACTCATAAATCATAGCAATCTGTTGGGAAATTCGAAATTGATGTGTTCCCGCCTGAATCAGAGAGAGCAGTAGGCATCTGACAGCCTTGAGGAGCAGCCTTGTGTGAGCTGATTGGAATTTCTAGCAGTATTAATCTTAATAACCTCAGGTAGCTTCCTCCCCACAGCCTATGTCTTTCTGTGCAAGCAGTGAGGGAGGGAGCACTACAACAATTACTCCCGCGTTCTCTCCAGCTGACTCTGTTTTCTGATGAATATGAACATGTCAGTCATGCTCAGCCTTCATCCACAGCTCTTCTCAGCCCTCAGCAATGACCAGCCCAAAACCTGTAGAATTTAAATTGCGATTTGAGCCTTGAGGTATAGGACACAGGAATAGAAACCAGAATACCTCCCGATACAGCAGCATGAAGAGGCTTAAAAACAAAAGCAGCTTTTCCCTCTGTCTTACAAGAAATGCCTATGAACTGCAACAGAAAATTGTACAGCATTTATCCAAGTCATTCAAACAACAGACTGAAGATACTCAAACAGCATTAACACTGAAAATAGATGATTAAAACACAGATCAGAAATATGCATCTATCTATCTAAGAAACCTAATCCAAGTAACTGTCATTCACATCTGACAGGATGGTCAGAACAGTTGTTGAAGCTTTCTGGTATTTGCTTTGCAAAGGATTAAATAGCTCCCATTCTGATAAAGCTTTCATTTGTGCTTTTCCTAACAGACTTTCCAATAATAATATATCTACCAGATTTCTCCCATTTTACCCAGATTGACTTAATAGAAAAAAAAAAAGCAACAGCACCAAAGTATCTATGGCTCCATCTACCTACCAGCTGCTATCAGCAGACACGTATGCACCCAAGCCTAACTCTTTTGTAGTTGCAAATACATGTGTTACACAGCCACTCTCATAAGGATAAGGAAACTTTCTTAATTTTAAGACTACACTTTCCTGTTTGTGCTGGTGTATCGCTATCATGAGTAGCATAATACTTTTTTTTGGAAGCACTTTTAGATAGGTAGTCTCTAATTAAAATACTGGCACACGTATACTGAGACACAGCGGAAAGTACTCAGGTGTTTTACCCCACCAGCTGCATGCTGGAAAACAGATCATTCTTGTTCACAGTCTCTGCAAAGTCAAGTTCCAGCTATTCTCTCTCTCCCCCCACACCCCAATTTCCAGGCACAGAGTCAAAGGATGGTTCATTATTTACTTCAGCAGAAACTCCTTCACATTACAAGAAACTAAGAGAATATGTTTATTTGGTTTGGTTTTTTTTTTTAATGTGTTTGAAGACAAGTTAAATTTACCATTATATACTACGGTCCATCCATCCTCTTTGGAAAAGAGAGAGGTGTAAGGGAAATCGTACAAACATTCAGATTATAATTCTGGCTATGCTGTGTAACACAATAGATAATCCACACCTTGTTTCATGGATGCGATCACAATTTCTGATACTTGCTAGTGTTTTGACTAGTGTTTATAAAAAAAACCCTAAGTAAAAAACCCCCAAATAAACCATTCATAATTTGGCTAAACTTTCCTCACTCTGAAACACGTTTCCTTATCCAACTCCGTGCACTGCTGTTCCACATACCTCCAAATGTCAATACCATTTCTGCTATTTTCCAGTCTTTCTTATCATCTCAGTCCTAAGCAAATTTTTAGAAACTGGCAGTGGTTCAGAGAATTTGTCTGCCAAGTCTATTACCACCCCAGGATTCAGCTCATCTAGACTTGCTGACTAGTATGTGGTATCTTTGGGTCTTCCAAGGTTTCCCATACTCTTCTAAATTCATTCTGTTTAAAAGCTTTTCCATAGTTTCTCCTGCCAAAATCCTGAACTCGGGGCAGCATCAGAATAAATGGACAATTTGCTGAGAAGGTACATTAGAGGTCCTCCCTGCTCAGCCCAGCTGCTTGGCAGCTGTTGCTATAGCTCCAGGGCAACAGCAACCCACATATTTGCCATGCGTCTCCACACAGGGAGCTTGGCTCCTGGATTTAGTAAGACTCATTCATCTCTTTCTCCCCAAAGCTATCTTCTGTGCTGGAGCACTAAAACCCCTTTATGAAGTTGGGGCTGCTGTAGCACTGAAAACTGTAGCATCAAAATGGGGAATTTTCTCAAGAACAACTCAAAATTCTTTTGCTGTAAGGGAAGTCAGTGTGGAAGGGAGGATGCACCTTACATACTTTATTAATCGCATCTAGTATCTTGAGCTGTTCTCACTAGGACACTCCCCTGAAGTCATAAACAGGGGGATAAACAGTGTCTCTCATAAACAGAAGCTTTTGCAGATCTAACTGGTGTGACTCAAGAAACAGCCCACTTGAAATTTTCTTCCTGCCTCTCAGGGTACTGCTCCCTTGGGTTGACTACCCAATGTGATAATTTTGCACTGAAACAAGACTACAGCTGCTCACACATGCAGTTGCAACCTGACCCCTGAAAAGAGTAATAACCAGCTGAAAATCTTAAACCCTTAAAACCCATGAGTTAGGACTAATAACTTATGGATCAACAAGAACATGTTTCTTTATGCCAAACTTGATAGCAACAATCCTGCATGAACCATCTCCAATATCAGAACTAAAATGCTGCGATGTAAACCAGCAATTCTCTAGCACTAAAATCAGTTACACAGGGAGAATAACAGGAAGATTAAGGACCCTTAGTATCATAACTAAAACAAGCAAAGAACAATTCTTCTCCATTTTTTTACTGCTTATTCCTGTATCTTTCTCTTTATTTCATTTCTTGCCAGTTTCTTCCCTCTTTCCTCTTGCTGTTTTTCCAGACCGATCTTTCCCTGATTTTGTCTTTTTCAGTTCACTTTTCACTCTGTATTTGTCAGTCTTCCTTTTACTTTTTCCTTCTCCTTTTGTCTTTTTCTCTAAATCCTTGCGTGTCATTTTCCTCTCACTTCGCTAGTTCCTCACCTCACCTCCACCAGAGAGGCAGGTGGAATGAGCAGGAGCAATGTGCAAATTGTTCTGGAGAGTATCCACGGCTTCACACCCAGCAGCTCCCTTTATGGGAAAGCCAGGCTTCTCTAAAAACTGATTTGCACTTTTCTCTCAGTCACTTCACTTGCTATTCCGGAAATCACAGGCTTTCTGCAGTCTCAGAATGGCATTCATACCATAGGCTCCACGACAAAGTTTTAAGCACTTTCTTCATATCCCCTAGAACAATCAAAAAAAAAAAAAAAAAAAAAAAAAAACCCACAACCAAACCCTCAACATCCTCTGTGAAGCCAAATAGCAGCTCTATAGCATTATGAGCTTGTATCCAAATACTGATCTTAACAGTTATCATTACGTACTTTTCATTGCTTCACTTATGTCAAAGGCATATCTGCCTCATGCTGTCTTACCATGTCAGGCTACAGTCAGGCAATACTGCTGAAGGCCATCTTAAACAAGCTGCATAATTTCAGTCTCAAATACTGCAAGAGGTACCAGGTTGTAAGATTTGGGATTTACGAATGAAGAGGCACATACGGAACTAATGCTTTCTGTTGTGTCAGTTGGAAAATACAATGGTTAGGCAGCTTAATACTTTACCAAGCACTGTTTTCAACTAATTTTAGTGTTGAGCATAATCCAGATCACATGACTTCTTGTTTCCACTCACCTTTATGAAATAAAAAGGTTTCAGGTGAGGGGAATTGGTCTAGATCAAATGTCAAGTCTACCCATGCCATCCAATACGTGTTTTTCATTAGCTCTAATGCTGACAAACAATTCATCAATTTTATGGGCTTCAGTACAGGTCAGGCTAATTCTAGCACTGACACCACAGGCAAAGTGCAGGTCAGTACTGAGGCGTTTTGCTTTTTGGTGTTTGTTTTTTTAATTTGAAGTTAGCACCATTTTTGGTTCCAGTGAAAGAGATTGTTGTTTCAAGCTTCTCATTAAGTGGCCAGGATCTGTATTGACTTTGGTCAGTTTTATTTAGATCAAGCTCAAAACCTTTTTTAAAATATTATCAATTCCTTTCTCCTTCAATAATTCACTTTCTGTGGATAAAAATACCACATCTCAAGCATTTTTGTAACTCCATACCAAACACATATATGGCAAAGAAAAGATTTTCAGCACGAAATGTGGAATATAACAAGTTTTTAGATGGCAGCATTGACAATCTGACATTTTTAGGGAATACCATAATTCACTTTTTCAAAACCAAAACCTATTGAAGCGTCTTACCTGGACACAGTCTGCAAAGATAAAAAAAAAAATCATTTAAGAGGTGTTTGTTTGAAAACACAACAATTATGTGCTTACCAATGCTGATACGTGACTGTATAAACCATGATTTGAATTTCCGAAGCAGTGGTGGACTCCTTGCTGTACAGAAATCAGCTTGCCTCCGCAGTCTTACTGCCAAGGAGTGTTCTGCAACAAGGTCGTTTCCCAAAATAATACTGAGACTCTGTAAGAAAATCATCTGAGACATGAGTGTGTTCTGAAATCCTCTAAAATACAACTTATGACCAAAGTAAACAGTTGTGAGAGAGAAACATGCAGGAGCAAGGTGCTGTCTCAGCACTGGAGACAAAGCTTTAGAGAGTAAGTTATTATTTTTAACTTTTATTTTCTGCCTTTACTGGCAAATAACACATGTCCAGGGAGGTACGTAAAGACTGGACAAGCACACAGGGATTCTCTGCCAGTCCTCTTCGTAGTGTCCAGCGATTCATGGTTCAAAAGGATTTTCTAAGCCAGAGATGCTGCCTTTATATTTAGCAGTCTTTAATGGGTTCATCTTTCAAGTACTGGTTCAGTTACTTTCAAGTCATGTAAACTTTAACATTAATGAGGTTGGGTTTTTTTGTTTCTTTGGGTGTGTTTTTGGGTTTTTTTGTGGGAGGAAAGGGCTATTAAAGAGGAGTGCCATAGCTCACCCGCACGCCTGTGGAGACCACCTCATTTTGTATGCTTTGAGCCACCACCTGCAGATTCCATTTAATAACCTCTAGTTCTGGTATCAGGAGAGACAGTGAACAATCACTCCCTATTCATCCTCTCCCTCTGCCACTTGTGATTTTATGGACTTTTATCATTCCCTCTCAACCATCTGCCTTTCAGTCTATTTAGTTATCGTCATACAGGTGTTGCATGCTATTCATCAGTCCTGTCACCCTACTCTAAAATCTTTCCCAGTTTTACTACATTGGATTTGAGATGAAAGAAGCCAGAACTACACACAGTATTCAAGATGCACATACACCACAGATATAAAAATATCTATTATTTAACAGATTAACAATGCTTTATTTTCTTCTCCATCTGCTTTCTAGTAATTCCCAACATTTTAATTAAAATTTTAACCTCTATTAAGCTAACATTTTTAAAGATCTATGAAAACCCGAAGACCTTACCTCCAAGTAGTAACAGCCATACAGTGGTGGTCCGCAGTAGTTACGTAAAATGACTGTTTTTTCCCATATCCATTATATCACATTTCCTGCACTGAATTTCATCTACCATTTTATCATCCAGCCACTCCGTGAGGTAAGGGTCTTCCATAATTCTTCAGTCAGTCATCTTTACTACGCTGAAGAGCATCTGCAAACTTTGCCACATTTCTGTGTGGCCCTTTTTCCAAAAAAGTCACGGGTATACTGTAAAGCACAGGCCTAGGCACAGATCCTTGCAAGACTTCATTGGTAATTCCTTTTTGCCATGAAACGTGATGATCTATTCCTGCTTCTTATTTCCTATCTTTTAATCAGTTATTTAACCATCTTTGAACCCTTCCCTCTTACCTTACAGCAGCCTGCTTTCTCTAACAGCCTGGGATGAAACCTTGTCAAAAGCCTTCCCTTTCTGAAAGTCATTTCCATATTGCTGCCAGCACTGTACACATAGCTCAGATCCCACTTTACAGACAGCTGAAAATGATTAAAATTTGACCCTTCCTGCTCTCTTGATTCTACCGTAACGTGTTTCATTCAGATTTGACCCGCTACTCCCTTCCTTCCCAGCGTTTGCCCCCTCTCTTCTCCCCTACTGAATAATACTATACACATTTAACAAAACTAAAACAAAAATAAACATTTCTTGATATTATTTCTTCAAAGAGCTTTCCAGCTTGTATAAGCTTACAGTATTAAAGGAAATACAGCCACAGCAAAATTAGTCTGAAAACTGTCTTGCATTTATTACATGTTAAAAATCAAATCGAATCCCACATACTGTTACGTAATTTCCCGTCACCTTCACACTGCAAGCCATATACATTAATAGACAATAAAGTTTCATTAGACCTTTATTGCTAATGTGAAGAAAGTTTTGAAGAGTTCTGCTGCATACTAAGATATACTGCAGGGTTTTGGGTTTGGTTTTTTTTTGGCGGGGGTAGTGAGGAATACAAAACCCAACAAGGTTTTGTGTCTGAAGATTGAAAGCTCCACATATAAAGCTGCAGTCCAACCAAAGATTTTGATATTCAGACAACTGAAACACTACTGATTTGGAAATGTAATTTTTTTATATTATACAGGTGAATAGCTCATGCCTAATTACAGATTGTCTCAATTTGAAATAGCACAAGTTTAAAATCTTAACGCAGAAAATCAGACCATCAGAATTTCCAATGAAGTATTCACTCTGGAGCAGACAGGCAGCATCGTAACACAAATACAATAGTACAGATGATTTAATTAGATTACTTCATTCCTATGAATTCTTCCAAACAAGCTCTTTAAGAAAGCCAGAAATAGAATTCAATTTCCATCTTTTCTGGATGTTTTGGCCTATAGCAGTCAGTCACGCTCTCAAAGCGTGTTCTCACAGAAGCAGCTGTGTATACACAACAAATCACATTTGGACATGTTTCGATCCAAGAGCGGGTAAGGACAAGCAGAGGTGAGCAGCAGGCTGTCCCTCAACACTAACACCAACGGTTGCCATAGCAACGGGAGGAATCACGGGAAGAGGCCGGTATTGATCTTTCTGTCCCATGTTCTCGCCATTTCTTCAGTGTGGTCTTACACGATACTACCACAACCAACACCATCGCACATACCCAGGTTCTGAAGTCAATGGGAAATGATAGCGATGAAAAGGCACCAGGGAATAATTACCGCTGCGGTTACTCTGAGCACACAAAGGACTGAGGCAGAATTTTCATAAGGACAAGCTACGCAAGGGGAAGGGGGGTGTCAGTAGGTACAAGTGTGTTTCACCATGCCTTCCATCTACATCTCAGAATGCATTTTCCGTGCATCCTGCAGGGCAGAACCTGCCTGTTCTCAGCATTCATAACAAGGGAGTCACCAATGCCTAGGTCAGGTATTGCACCGAGCAGAATACAGCAAAGGATGTTTTGTGCTTAGCTGAAAGCCTGCTACATCATGTCAGCATACCGCAGAACGGCACAGAGCCAAAAGGATAAGAACGACTACTTACAAATATTAAAGAGATTTATCAGGTTAACAGTGGCATAGCTCCAGAGTCCCTCAAAATATACTACAGCACAACTAAGTTCTATAAACATGGGATAATACATTACATGAGAGTATAAGAGATTTCAGTAAAGACTGTTTCCAATAACAATACATAGCGCAAAATTGCATTTAGTTTGCAAATTAGAGGATGGTATTTTGTACCATTTAGAGGATGGTACTTAGAAAAACTGTTTAAGATGTTAGACTGAATTAAGAAAGCCTTTTAAGGCCATACCCAACTGTATCTATAAACATTGAAGAATGACCAGAATAGCTAGCAGAATGCAGCCCTAGCTAAGAGCAGGGCTGTTCATATCGGAAAGATAAAACATTATTCTTGTAAATCAGTAGATCACTTCTGCTACATGCACCCTACTTTGTCCGTTTTATATCAGCATAACAACACCTCTGTAATCCACTACATTTGCATAAAGCTGAAGTAATGAAGCAATAGTATGGGAAGTATCCAGTATCTCCAGAAACTTTGTAATTCACAAAGTGATTAGTCCCTCAAAAAAAAAAAAAAATTCTAACTAGCATAGTCTTCAGAAAATGCATCATAGTTTTCCAAGGCAAATACAAAAGACAAATTAAAAGTATCTATATTAGTACAGATACTCTTAACAAAATTTTTTAACAATTATACTTAATAAAAATAGATCCTGAAAAAAACCTAAACAATACCTACCAATTGTGTACATCAGGATAACACCACCACCATAATCCAAACAAATTATAACAGTATGTGATATTTAAGAGCTCTGGGAACCCTGTTAATAACAAGTCTCCCATCATAACTTAAAGAGGCAAATAGCCACGGGTCTGCTGAGGACCATTCAACTGCATATACACTATCTTCATGTTCTTCATAGGTAGCTATTACACTGTCCTGAAGGGGCTCTTTAATCCTACAATTGAAGAAAAAAAAAAAAAAAAAAAAAAAAAAAAAAAGAAAATGTTTCAAATAGGGATCTGTGAGCACACTTTATTTAAAAGGCAATATAAAGTGTCACTAAGATCTAGATACGAACCTCCCATTTAAAGTACAAGAACGCAGCAGTAGGCTCTAAAGAAATATTTTATACCAGGTATCTGCATATACCTGTGTTTTAGATAACACAGAAGAGTCAAGTCAATGTTAAAGATGCCATTTGCAGGGACAAAGTACCTGTTATTTTCAACTTCAAGGGCATTTCCGTGTGTCTCAGAACCTACACTAAGCATCTCTCTCTCTCTCAAGCAAAACTACAGGGTATGATCTAAATGCACTTAAACACACATTTTTATCAACACCTTTTCTCTCACCGTGCTCCATCCCTTCTATTCCCCCTTTGTCATTAATTGAATTCTTAAAATAATATATAATCTTCTTAGAGACGAGTAGGTAGGTAAGAAGTTGCAGTCTTTAACATCACAGCCTCTCCTGTGCTGCCATCCTGCACCCATTCTCTCCAGAGTAGTGTGGAAAGGAGATGGAAGCACCACTCTGAACACTTCAATTTTTACCTCCCATTCGTAGAGTTACAACACCACCGGATTCTCATCTATTATTGTATACCTCACCTCTCACTGCAACACCCAAGCTCCTGGTCACCTACATCATGAGACACAGACAGATTCTCTTTTGCATTGCAAATATTTAACAACAGATTCAGGCAATTCTCTGAAGTCCAAATCACCCTGAAGTCATTGATTGTACTCTGCCAGCCGAGAACAGCCCTTCTTCCCTCCACTCACAGAGCCAATCTCTCCTCCCACAGCAAAACCACAGCGCGTTACTCCGTAGCTACAGGGTAGGTGAGTTTTCAGAGGATGACCTTAGAGCTCCTTCACCCACAGAGGATCACCTCTGCCTGGCAGGAATCAGTCAGCCTTTCAGAAGCATCCCCTGCCTCCCAGACACAGCCTTGTATTACAGCTGCAATCCTAACAGAAAGCAAAGCCAAAGAGCCTTGTGAATGCCACTCAATCATTTAAACAGATGCCGCTACTGCAGAAATGAAGTGTTGTTATTGGCCGTCTTTGCCCTTTACTGTTGCTCTCTGAAAGCACGCGTCTCCACGATCACAAAGCGTATATGGTGTCACATTTGAATCGCTTGCAGGATGTCGCTGCTCCACCTCGCCAGCCTAACCAGCTGTGAATCTAACATCGCAATTAAAATTCAATTGAATGTAATGAATAAACCAAAAGCAGTCTGATACTGCAGAATAGCTTCAGATATTTAGTCCCGAGGACTTTTATCATTTACTTATGCTGCATTTAAGGTCAACTAACAAAAAAAAGGGCATAGCACAACCAACACGCAGCCCCTGGTTAATTGCAAAGAGCAGGCTTGTTGTGCCATTCTCCTGAATACATACTTTGATACAAACCATCTAGCAGCAGAGAGCTAATAAACACAGACACACACAGACACTTCATCTCCTGCAATGTGTTTTTCGAACTTCCTGTTAACTGACACGCCTGGTTAAGTGAAAGTTGGTCACGTCCCCAGACAGCAATGTGCTTCATGCGGTGCTCACCCACTTACCCACAACTCCATTATTCTGAAGGTTTCAAATGTCTCTCCGGATAAGCAGGGGACTAATGCACGGTGCACATGGCTGTCAGGGGACACGACCGACTTCCAGTTAACCAGGAGCCTCAGTTAACCAAAGGTTGGGTAAACAAGGACAAATTAAGCTTCTAGTCTATACCATTTTCTGTATGCTCAGAGTTGTTTCAGTGTTTCATTTAAATAACACAGTTCATCTAATTTAATTTACAGAAGTCATAGGGGAATGAGTGTTCAGGAAAGAAGCCTGCAGATGAACTTCTGTTTGGCATTTCCATTTACAACTACAATTTTTAACTGTCTTTTATTGTCTATAGACTGAATTTCTTCTTGGGCGTGAAAGTAATTTTGTGCTTTCCCAGGAAAAGAAAATGTGCTACTCCAGGTGGTTCTTCAGCCCATGAGTTCAGTTTTCAGTGTTTGGTTTTTGGTTGTTTGTTTTTTTTTTTTTTGTTTCAAATAGCCTAGCTCTATGATAACATTAGGTATAGACCATTTGTGCATACGAATGGCATAGCTGTGAGACAGTTATTGAGAACCTAGGAAAATCCTTACGGAAGTGATCACTTGATGTAAAAGATCTAGATACTATACAAGATAATCAGGATGGAAAAAAAACATCAGGAACAATACAGAAGATCCAGAAGAAACTGTCCATGAGCATCCTTTACAAATACTATGAATGAAAACAGATTAGCCTTTAAATTATGTAATGGGTAATGAGCCCAGAAGGACTTTGCTAGTTGAATAAAGAGCAGAATTTGTTTCATGTATGTTTAAAGATTGTTCAAAATAATTACAAAAAAAAAAAAAAAAAAAAAAAAAAAGAGCAAGCAAGTTTGTTTGTGGTGGGTTTTTTCCCCCTCACAACAGGAATCTCTTGGAGACAGATCGCCTTACCCCATGCCAAGAGACTTCCTAGAAAACACCTCAGATTTGTCTGCATTTTGGCTATGTGTATGCTTTTTTTGGTAATCCAAGAATAGGCTAAGGATGCTATTTTTGAATCTATATGAATCTAGGATACTTACAATTGTTCACTTTCTGAGTCCCACAACAGTCTATTTACTCTCAGTGAATTTTTACACAGTTTTTACACATTTTTATTTATTAAAGAATCAGCTCAGACTATCCTAACTCCCTACATATTAAATATAATTTGGTTAACGCAAGAAGTTACAGACTTAACAGCTATGGCACTGACATTTATTTAAGCAAGGTAACAAATACCTATTAAATATATATAAACAGCCTATGAAAAATATTATTTTGGTCACAGCACATACTAGTGGAACACATACAAAACAACTTCCATTTATCATAGGATGGTTTTGTCTATTTAGGTATTTTAATTATCATTCTGGTTTTATCAGTTGCTACAATTTTATTTCTCCTTAAAATATAGTAGGTAATTTCAGAGCCTAACATATCATAGCACTGATGAGTGTGTTTTTTCTAATACTCTCTTCATAACGCAGCAATGATTAAATGAATACTGCTATACTTTCACATGCATTATTCTTATCTCAGAAACTTTCAATTTCATAGTTACCAACTGCTGATGACAATGCCCAGGTTATTTGCCTTCTTAGCTTAGATGCATAACACCAGGCACAGAAGAGGAGGGCATTCAAAGTAGACGGGATACTGGGATAAAGTCAGCAGATCTTTGGCAGGTTTTGGAACAGAGAGGAGAGTTCAGGACCTTAAATTTCTTCCCAGCTAGACAAGTTAAGGAACAGGACGAGTACCTGTACAGAGGTGGATATGAAGTAAACTTCCTTCTATGCTACTTTAATACGTATAATTCAAGTAAGCTATTTTCTTCCTTGTCTTAAATCTCCCTGCCCCTTGAAAAGTTCCTTTAGTTTCTCATTTTACTGTACTATTTTAAAGACTTGCCAGACTAAAATACCTTCTTCTCTCCTTATAGATGTTCTTGCATAGCATCAAATGACAAGGCGTCAAACTCTTATGTCATCAAGAGCTCACAGAGATGTTTAATCTCTACCTACATCCTGCATAATTTTCAGACCTGTGCTACACAGAGCTGAAACTGGACTGCTTTCTCTTTGTAGTCTTATTCACATAGCACAACCCCTAAAAGCCTTTCCTATGACAGGAGATAAGCTTTCATTTTACTAGATAACTTTGAGGTTAATTGTGTTACAGACTTGAGAGAGAAGCCTGTACAGCGCTGGATAATTGTTTTCATGTAGAGAGCTGTTATTTCCAATTACTTCTCATGCTAACAACCACTTAAGTTTGCAGTGCTTGCGATTCTGTTTTGTCACCACAATGTTCAATAAAAAAATGTTTGTCAGAGTCACCAAAAATCATTAATTCCATATCACAGTCAAAATTAAATCCTCTTTAATCTAAAAATTACTATGAAATAGATGTGATTCAATAGAGCAGCAACGTATATCACAGCATCTAAAATGAATCCTGAAAAAGCATGTCATTCGATTCTAGAACAAGGCCCATGGATACCCTTTCCCTTTGACTGTAGGAGAAAACTTAGCAACTGTAAGGTTTTCTTTCTGGCAAGCTTAGACGACAACACTACTTCCTTTTTCACTCTGCTAAGGAAGACAGAATTCAAGGATGGTTATACTGAAACATATTTTTATATATAGTAACTGGCCATTCATACTATTGTGAGCATTATCACTTTTTTTTTTTTTTAATCGAAAAAACCAGCCTTCTGAACTGCTTCTACAGGAAAATGACATCTTTAAAAACAGGAAATGCATATTTTAATATAACAGGTTTCACAGCTGTCCTAAGACACAAGATAAATTAAAGAGGATGTATCTGCTGATGAAGGTTAAAGAAAGAAACAATACGGAAAAACCACATTTTTAAAGCAAACTAGTCTAGGAATTTGAAAGTGCTGCTGCACTAGATTTGGCCCAGCTTCTTATACATCCAACCAAGTAAAGTCTGGAATACTGGCATTCCCCAAAACAGAAACTATTTAAGCTGTTTTAATTAATTGAGTCTCTTGGTTGATTTCATAGCATAATCTTATGATTTCTAGACTTCTCCAAGACATAAATACCACAAGCAAAATATTGTCAAAATTAGCACTACTGGTAGCTGTGTTTAAATTCATGGTAAGACAGGCTTTCAGGGTATGTTTGACAAATACTTTTTCAAAATATCAGTGCTGACAATTCACCCTCCTGAAGTCATGGATGTGTATACAAAGGTGTTATGTTAGATAGTATGTATTATTGTGAAAACCACATGATTTACTATTCAAAGGGCTCCAAACCACATTTCTATCACAAGAAGTAGAAACCACAGCCTCCTTTAGATGGAATTCTGAAAGAAATCTCTTTCTACGTATAGGCCAGCCACCATTTTCTCTCTGGTCCATTCCAATTGCTGAAGATGTTCCTACACTTAAAATCTCATTAAAAACTTTACTATCTCAATGAGATACTCTGTACTGGAAGGACCAAACCTTTACATCTCTCAGTTTTAAACACAAAACAGTGAGAAATGCTTGTGTTGGATCTTGTTCTGTTTGTAGCAAAGGACATTGTAGGTAACATCTATGGTGAAAAAGATGGAAACATAAGACTTCAGGAAAACCACTAAAAATGTATTTCCTAACGTGAATTTCTGCTAAAATCTTCAACAGATAACAAAGATAAGGATAAACTTAGGCCACATTGTCAAAAAATGTAGCAGAAGGGAGAAGGCAGCATACTGACCTTAGTAATCAGTTCTGCCAGTGAAAACACAGCAGACATCTTAAGCCTGTAAACCCCAAGGAGAGCAGGTAGCTTGTTCTGCAAAATTAAAGTTTAAGGATGGCTTCCTTTTCAGGACTGGTGTATAAGCTCAAAATGCTATTGACCATATAAATCTTTTCATTGCTATGGATACAGAATAGTTTTTTTCTCTTAAAAAGCAAGTCCTCTATTATCAATTGAGCCTTGTCACAAAGTTCTGGCCATAGAGGTCATGAAGAATGAAAATACAAACAGCATGTACCTTGCTGTTGGTGCTCTTAAGGTAGCAGATGGTCTTGTCATGCTGTGTTCCATCAGCATACCAAACAGAGGCCTACAGAGTTTAAAATTCAAACTAATAAGGCAAATAAATTTGTTGCAAGAACTACAAAAAAAAAAAAAAAAAAAAAAAAAAAAAAAAAAAAAAAGAAAGAACCCTGACTGACGAGTAAAAATGGTCACACGAAGCTGCAAGAACCTGGTAGGTTTTGTTTGTTGTCAGAAATAGCAATGTAGAATTTAAATGACTGTCAGACTCTTAAAACAACCAAATATAGACTCATTCACTAACATACGGGTTTTGAATGACCAAAGAACGAAGAAAGAATACAAAACAGTCACCACCTCCCTTTGGAGGAAGACAGTTCTCAGTGCTCTGCAGATGTCTAACAGGGAACTGATGAACTTTAGGAGCTTTGGAATGGAGACAAGTTCAGTGTTACAGGGAGGAAATTCCTTGCAACACCAGAGTGCAAAACCATTAAAGAAAGAGAGGCCAAGGAGAAGCCTGACTTAATCAGTTGCATCCAGATGTTGAACAACCCCATGTTTTAAACGTTTTGTTTAAACTGAGGCATTCAAAGCACTCCCTGTGTTCTTATCCAGGCACACTAGCTTTGCTTTGGGGATGAAAGCCAAATGCACCCCAAATACTCACCTCATCTGTTCTGTTTTCATTTGCTTTGTGCACTTTTTTCTACCTCTGGATCAAGGTGCTAGAAATTAAGCTAGGAGTACAGCATTTAATTCCCCATTTCTCAGCTAGTTTTTTGCCGTATTTGAACTGTGCATTAAATTATCCAGACTAGGGACTTGACGCAGCTCTCGTCTGGCCACATGCCTATACTTCCTCTCTGTGGACAGCTCTATCCTCTTTTTAGACTACCTGCCTTTAGCAGAGGCTTTGGGCTTCCTGAACAGAAAGTGCTGAAGCCTTTCCTTGTTCAGTGCAAAACAAACACAGTTGGCATATTTCTCCTAGACACATTTCACAAAGGCAGTGCATGCACAGCTAGCATGTTTTGGAACAAACAAAACCACAGTTAGTGAGAAGAGATAAATTCAAGAGTACAGCTGATGGCAAAAGAAAATCCTTACAGGAAGAATCGGAAGTCTCCAAAGGTGATTCAGAAGGCAGTAAAGGTTCCTGAGTTGCAAATAGACAGGGGCTAGAAGCATGCCCAGGGGAAATATCATCTTCTTTTCCTGTTTTTATAATCTTTCCTCTTGGCCACTATCAGAGACATGATGCAGGCGAGGGAGACCGTTGATATGATACAGGGAGGCTGCTCTTACATTTTTATGATTGATGAGAGAAACAACAACAATAGCAGTTAAAAAGTAGGGAAGAGGCAGCAAACCAGTTGCTCTGATCTGAATCAGCAGTCTAGAGGAACTGAAGGTCACTCGATTGCAACAAGAGACAGAGCCTCATGCAACAGTCCTAGTTATACTGCTTATGCAAGCATGGTCTGGTCTCCATGACGGGAGCATATATACTCCCAAGATGTCAACACACACATGGACAAACACCCAAAGGAGAAATCTCAAAGAATAATTCCTTAGTAAGAATAGAATACAGAAACTTTTGGTTTGTTGTCTATTCATTACTTAGTGAATCTGTATTCTTTTCTTAAAAAAAAAGTTAACCCCAAATAATTATTTTGCAGTTGTGAACTAGGCACTTAATACAGAAAATTTGGCAAAAATAAACGAGTGGACTCATGCATAGTTCTACATAGTTGAACAATGAAGGGTTAAACTGACAAATTACTTGGTTTTGTCTCCAGCCAAGACATACAATAAAATTAGAAAGTTTACTCAAAAATATATTAAAAATTACATGAATCTTAAAGATCTTAGAAGTCTTAGCTCTGTAGATAGTATTAGAAGTCAACATTTTAAAAATATGGTGATTTTTGCTAAGTAGAAAAAAAATTTGAAGATACAACTGGTACATACTCTTTATTCTTAAATTTAATCCAAGGGGTATTTTTACAAGTTATTTTATTCAGAACGTTAAAAATAGGTAGCGCATGAGGAAAGAGCCTTTTTCCTTCTTTCCATTTGATATTTCAACCTTCTTTTGAGAAAGATTTGGTCACTCAGTCTGAAGGTGACTGACTGGAGATACTGGTTGTACAGATACCTGCTCTTCCTGGTGTATTTCAAGATACACTCAAAAAAAGACATCATCTTTTTCAAGATTTGTGTGCTATTTAATAGCAAACCAGATGTCCTCCAAAACAGGATAAAAGGGAACCCCATGAGAATATAACAGTTTCTTGAAAGTCTAGAACATACCCAAGCAAAAAAACCCTCCCACACACCCCACACCTACCAAAACATCCAATAAAACCCCATGTTTTACAGAAGAGACACTACCCATGGAATGGTGCAACAGACTCTTCAAAGGGGTCTCCAGGAGGGAAACAGGTACTAAAGCCTAAATACTTGGCACTGGTGGTTAACTAACAAGAATTATTCCCAACAGCTGTTATGCCCTGCTTCATTAGTGTGCTCCGAGCTACACAGACATTCATCCAGCAACAGTACAAGGCTGGTGAGCACCTTGCAAACATCCTTCCAGCTCAACTCATGATGGGGACGCACACATGACCAAAACAAGACTCTCACAGTACCAAGCAAACCTTACAAAAACTAATGTGCAAGGCAAGGGCTCTATATCATTGCTATACAAGTCATTCCTGATGTGATTTAAATCCATCCCACAACCACAGGAGAAGATGCATTATATTTGTTGTATCACTTTGCATATTCTCGGTTTCAAAAATTCCTATTCTAGAAACAATCACTTGTGTTTTAATGAGGCAGCCTACACTGTCTACCATCAACAGAAATTCAGATTACAATAAGATGCATTATTCTCTACCAAAAGAGTCAAAAACAAACTTCTGTTTTGCTTGAAGTAGGTCTAATGAGTTACTGGTTTCTAGAGCAGTCAGCAATATTAAGAGCTAAATTTATAAAAATTAATGTATTTATACTTCCTTTCTTCCACCTGTGCAGAACATCACCATTAGACTGCTAACGACTCCTAGAGGTTAGAACACACACACAGAAAATGCAAAAAGCAGATTTTCAACTCTCACTTAACCCAGATTATTCTATGTGCTTGATTTGACCCAGAGTTCCCTTAAAGTGAATCTTTTCACTGATCCGGTGGACTTTAGGACTGGTCCTCAGCATCACCATCCCCTTTCTACCAGTGAAACACAGTGACCATGCCAATCACATTTAAAGAGTGGATTCCACCCAAGACTCTGAGTAACAGAGAATGAAGTAGGAATTAGAACTACTTACCTGAAAGGCCTATAGTATACAAAAATCCTAGTCAGCAAAAAAAATAGCATGTTAACCATTACAATGAAAAAACAAACTATAAGCATCTGCATAAAACTCAGGAAAATTCATACTTCTCTTCTTGATGCTGGTCCTCTTGGTCACTTAGTTCATCATCATCTACCATATGCCCAAATGGTTCGGAAGAAATTGATACCATATTAGACAGGATAACTCTGCTATCACTGCTTCCTGTAAGGATCAGCTGATCATGAGAATGATTGTATCTGACATTCCAGACCCTAAAAATGAAATCAGAAAGAACAAGAGGCTATTCTGGGCAGGTAGCACATCAATTTTTTTTTTTTTTTGATAAACAGCACTAAAAATTGATCTTTGACTTAAACATTGTAAGTATGCATAGAAGTGACATGCCTCATTCCAAAGACTCTTTTTTGCCATCTTCATTTGTCTTTTAAGCTTCCATGTCATTTGTTTTCTATGAGGGGTCTTTAAAATTCAACAAAGAAGTTTTGGGGAAAAAAAAAAATCCAAAGAATAAAACACACCATACAGTGGTATCATTCCTTGAGGGTACATGCCAATTCACTGTTTAGTAAGTCAGAAAAATATTTAAGGTCTAAATATCAACACTTCCCCAAAGCAGAATACGGATTAGAAATAACCTGTTAAACAAAAACCTCACAACATTCTTACAATAAAGTTTAAAATAGACTCTAAAACAAAAGTAGGATTGTATTTCTCATCAATTTTTACATTTTACTTATCAAGTTAATAAAAAATGTCTCATGGTTCTTGTTTTATTCTTTTTCTTTTAATCTTCTGGAAAAAAGCATAAATGCTGCTTCTGTTAATTCACATCTTCATTCCCCTCAAAGTAGCTTCAGGGTTGAGATTTATTTTGCAAGAATTACTCCAACC